CACCCGAAGTTGTGCCTAATTTACACTATCACTCGAAGTTGTGCCTAATTTACGCGATGTAATTGGTCAGCGTACTTCAAAATTGGAGGAATATTTGTTGTATTTTGGCCAACAAGATGACTCTATTTTCTTCCGTCCATATTACTATTAATAACTATCACGTTTGTAAAGAGCATCTCCACCGCGCCCAGTAAATTGGCCAATCAGTAAATCTGTGTTCTGATTTACTGAAAATTTACTGGAATATTTTCGCACCCCACCAGTGAGTTTGTCAAAGCGACGTAATCTCCGACGTAGTTGCATGTGGGTGTTCACTATGTCGTGGTCAAAATTATCAACGTAGTTGCAGGTACTACTGTAGTACGTGAATATGGAGTACTGTAAAACACGATATTGTTTTATAGTGTGAAGGTACTTTACATTTCAGGAAAAAAATCGTTTTTCGGTGAATCGAACCCCGACCACTATGACATTAGGGTGATCCCTAGACGTCTACACTAAGTAAACCTGGTTAAATATTTCTATCGCACCAACCCTTAAGTGACGTTTGGCTGAGTAAGCATACATGCACTATTACTGTAGTTATTCCTGCATCTTTATCGCGAGGTGGAAGTCATTCATGTACGTACAGATGAACGGCGAGTGTTGATGATTCTGCAGTGGATGACGGAATTACCGTATTAACGTTAGTAACGGTAGAACTGCGTAGTACACTTCGAAGTACCGTACCACTAATAGGCCAAATTTCCAGCACGGACTAGTACTACTCAGTAGTAGTACAAGCGTAGCTCATTAACAGTAAACTTGTGAAATCGTTTATTATTCAGCGACTAGTGCCGTGGCACGATTAGCTCACTGGGTAGAAGCTGTGGTTGGAGTGGCAGAGGTCGCTGGTTCGAACCCCTGCGTAAATTTTTATTTTTCTTGAAATCAATCAATTCCTTTTGCTGGTCGCACCACACATCAATCCTAATTTCTCTAACTTAACTTCGCAGCCATCTAATCTACAAGTACTGGTACTGTCGCAGGACAAAATTGCTTCTGCTGGGAGCCATTGATGAATGTGACTGTATACAGC